AAACTAATCCAAGTAACTTCTAAACACAGTACTTCATATACCCTCAGTCTGTAAACAAAAAGAACTATGAAGTAATCTTGAACTCCACTGAATGGGTTTGGTGTCTGTAGCGGATATGAGTGTAGCAATTCTGAAACTATTTTGCTTGTATTATAGGATTAAGGGAAAAGACCAGCCTCCTCTTGCCCCATCTCATTGACTGCACCAGAGCTGAAGCCTGTGGATTCCTTTAGGAGCCCACATCATCCACACAGGCTCGTCACGGGCTGCTCATCCCTCACTGTGCAGATTAATCCAGCCTAGTCATTCATTCGTTTGTTTGTTTATTCATCCAACAAATATTGAGGTTACAACTGTGACAAAGACAGACAGGGTCGGCCCTCACAGAGCTGATCTTTTAGTGCAAGTAGACACTCAACAAGAAAACTAATCAGATTATTCCACGTGATTAGTGCTATTAAGAAATGAAACAAGGTAACGGGCAAGAGGAGCAGGTGGGCAGGGGGAACCATGTTAGACTAGTGGTCACGAGGCACTCCTCCGGGGAGGTGACATATGAACTGAAACCTGAAGGGTAAGGAGTCAGCAATGCGAGGATCTAGAAGAACTCCTGATAGGAAAGAGGAAAGGCCAAGTGCAATGGCCTGAGGCAAGAAGCCCGGCCATTTAAAGAAGAGAAAGCAGGTGGGTGAAACCGGAGTGCAAACGTTGAGGAAGAGAGTGGTGCAAAATAAGAGAAGAGGGAAAGAGCAAGAGCCAGATCACGTTGGGCCTCGTGGCCTTGGTAATGAATTCGGATTTCCTTCTCAATGGAGAGTTTTAAATGGATTTACCTTTCACGAAAATTGTTTGGCTGCCGTCTAGAGACTGGAATGGAAAGGGGAAGTGTGAAAGCGAGACTCCAGTCAGCACGCTCCAACAGTGGGCCCAGGTGAGATGACAGAGTAGGACAATGGCAGTGGAGGCAGACAGAAGAGGCCAGACTAGGGATAAAGTCTGTAAATACTATCAAAATATATGCTGATGGAATGAACATGTAGGCTAAGGAAAAGAGAGGAATCAAGCCCAGCTCCCAGCAGCTGGACAGATGCTCAATGCCATGAGCTAGGATGGGGGAGACTCATGAAGGAGGGATGGAGGAGAGGGGAACAAGAGTCCAGGATGACTTTTTTTTTGGTAAATGAGTTTGGCAAACTGGTCTTGTTGGGGGCTGAAGGCCCTTGTGACATATACTCAAAAGTATCCTAAGGCAGTGCATGTTACATAGCTGTTTGCCTCACCCCCATGACTCATCCTTGAACCAGATCACCAAGCTGCTCTAATATTTGCCTTTATGTCTCGGCTTTCTCCTCCTCCCTCGGGGCCCATTTCCAGCTGGTGCTCCCTTCTTTCCTCTCATTTCTCTCCTTAAAAGACTCTAATGTCCATTTCTGTGGCCCCTACCGTCTCTGATTTCAAAGCCCTCTTTCAACCTCTTTTTCTTTCCTTTACCTTCAAGGCCTTGTCCACGACCCTCTGCTTTCTTCTCCCTCCTCCTCACACCAGGCCAAGGTTGAAACATAAAGCATTTACGTTGCCAAAAGGATCTATGATATTTGCCAGTTTCCTTCCAGTTCCTTATTAGTAAGACAATTTCTAGGAAGATGAATCATCTTTGGCCACTATTATAATTTGGCATTACACATACTAACTTGACTCTATATTTTGAGAATTCAGGTTTTCCTGTATTCTTACTTGGAAATCGGACCGGATAGATAGGTAGACCCAAAGCATTAGTAGGTTACAGTTCAAAAGTTCATCAATTAGTTAACACGAATATAGTTTCCACATCGAACAAAAATTATAAAGTTTCTAACATATACTCCCCAGCAGTCCACATCACTCATATATTTGAACTGAGGTCCAGAGCAAAGAAAGTAAGGCCCAGAGAGAGGGAGAGAGACTAGAAATAGTTCCAATCTATATTCTCAATCCAAAATCTTCTTCTTCCCCAGATGACTGACAGAGAGATGGCCTAAAACTTCAGACTCCAACCCGTTCATCTCTCTATCAAAAGGGACACAAGCCTTCCCCGTGACCCCACCAGAAAATCCACAGGAGAACACAAAATGAGCATAAGAGATAGGGAGGGAAAACTATCTCATTAGGTCAGCTGTTATTATTTATAAATTTAAAAACTTAAATTTAGGGGCCGGCCCGGTGGCGCAAGCAGTTAAGTGCACGGCATGCTCTGCTGCGGCGGCCCAGGGTTCACCGGTTCGGATCCTGGGCACGCACCGATGCACCGCTTGTCAAGCCACGCTGTGGCGGCGTCCCATATAAAGTAGAGGAAGATGGGCATGGATGTTAGCCCAGGGCCAGTCTTCCTCAGCAAAAAGAGGAGGATCGGCATGGATGTTAGCTCAGGGCTGGTCCTCTTTACCAAAATAAATAAATAAATAAAAATTTAAATTTAAAAAGGTGAAGTATTGCCCAGGGTTACAAAGTGAACAAGTGTCAGAGCTAGTGCTGAAAGACACACCTTACTCTTACTTCACACTACACCACTATTCCATCATCTTCGCGGCACATCTGTGGTTCATGAAATTTACGATTACTTTCCAAAGATACTTCTTTTGGGAAAAGATACTTAGAGGCGTGTTTTATTTTCCCCTAATAACAATTCTTGTCAAGTAAAATATGCCATCACAAATTTAACAAAATGTCAGAAAAATTTAAAGACAGAACATTTTTTATTTAATCTAAGACTGCCAATTCATCATCTTTATTGTTAATAAAAATTTTCACTATAAAAATAATAAGTTGGAAAAATGACTTTATACTTATCTAAAAACAGTTTGGAAAACTGTCTTAATTGAAAAAAAGTGTATTTACTAGATAATACTTTATTTTTCTCCATTACACTTACTAATGTGACAATTTTTATACTGTTATTGACCACCTCCTTCCACTAGGTTGCAATTTCTATGAAAGCACGAATCTTGTCTATTTTGTTCACTGCTGTATCCTCAGCACCTACAACAGTCACTGACCCATAGCAGATATCTGATAAATATTTTTCCCCTGTTGAATGAATAAAGGTGAAGTGAGATTTTCTTACAGCAGAGTATACATCATAAGACTGCTTTATGAATGAACCTTCATAAATTGGGAATAAAGCATAAAAGCAGAATTCAGTGGAGGAAGTTAAGCCTGGGAAAGGAAGGTTCTAGTGAATGATCTTGACTGATGGTGTGAAATACAATCATATGCCAGAACATAAGGCAAAAGAAGCTTGTTACAATTAACACAGATGTCACAAGTCTCTTGCATTTAAACTGAGGCACTTAACTGACAGGTCAGAGCCCCTGTGCTCACATGTGCATGAGTTCTTGTGCTCTCGCTCTCTCTCTCTTTCTCAGCCTTTTACTTTATTTTAAAAGTAATTCCAAAAACCTTGGTTATCTGATTTTTCTAGCTCAAAGTAGTTCAGAAGTGAGACCTAGAAGCACGTCACAGGAGGAGGCTCACTAGCTGAAAGAGACAGTTACAGCCAATATGCTGACAACCAGGAAAAAGAAAATAATGCAGACACCAAAAAAAGCACAGGAATCTGGTATCATTCAGTTTCAGTTCAAATATATCCATCCACAAATACACATATATATTTCCCAAAGAGGTTTTGCTATTTCAGAACATAGTAAATGATTTTCACACTGATGACGCTTATAATCAAGCTTAGACTATGTTCTGTAGACTCTGCTTGAAGGCAACAAGGAACTATGTCAATCTTTATTCATTTCCATAAAATTATAAATAAAAAAGACTGATCATTTAAGGGGACAAGCAATTAGCTTGATAACTGAGTTATGCAGAATACCTGGTCCCTGATGATGATAGCAGCTCCTTTTTGGGCTTTGTTTTGAAGGCCTATTATCCCACACTAAGTCTTTTATTGACATTTTCTCTGCTAATCCTCTCAACAACCCTGTAAGGAAAACATAAATCTTCCCATTTTCCAGACTAGAAAACTGAGGTTAGAGAGGATAAATGCATGTTCCAAATCATAAAGACAGAAAATAGGAGAGCTGGGATTCAAACTCGGGTAAGACTACAAAGCATGTGCTCTTTCCACTACAGCAAGCTGCCTCCACAACACTAGTGAGCCCGGGGAAACAAAGCATTAACTTTAAGAACCATACATGGCAGGAAAATGTGGCTTCTTGGCAATAGAACTCAGCATAGCTCCACAAAATCATAAACCTAGAACTCAAAACTATATTTGCCACCATTTTTTACTCATTCTCTTTCTTTCCCGTGGTTTCAGAAGACCGAATGCATATTTGTGATAGTTAATCAAGGAATTCAACAATATTTATTATGCATGCACCTTATACAACACTGTAATAAATACTGATTATTTCACTTTTCACTGGTTATTTCACAACTAACCCTCAAATATTTTCTCTACTTTTTATTCAGTGAAAGATACAGAACCATTACATTATAAAGCAAGAAACGTGGGACATTCAGATGAGTATGGGTGATGTGGATGAAGCTAACACAACCTGGTGAGAAAAGAGCAAAATGTAGATTTCACAACTGCAAATTCAACTTTATGACAGTGTTAGCTTGCAAACGTCATCACCGTTTTTTTTTTTAAGTTCCACATTAGAAAGATATTTTTCAGAGGAATTTCTCCGGTAAGAAGCAGTAGAGTATTTCAGACTAGAGATACTTGTTCTCCCTCTATGTCTTTTTCTTTGCTGAGGAAGACTGGCCCTGAGCTAACATCTGTGCCAGTCTTCCTCTACTTTATATGTGGGTCACCACCACAGCATGGCTGATGAGTGGTGTAGGTCCACCCCGGGGATCCGAACCCCTGAACCCGGGCCACCAAAGCACAATGTGCCAAACTTAACCACTACGCCACAGGGCTGGCCCCCTCCTTCTATATCTTTAGAAATTATATTACTGGAATATTTTACTTTACCTTCTGCTTATATGAAGTTCCAACTTACCATATCTGTGCTAAAACAGGCTGAGGTAACCCAGATTGAAAAAAAAAGTTTCTAGCTTGATCACCTGTAAATTAAATGGAGAAAGTTTCAGAAGAAAACAACTGAAAGAAATCCTATTATAGTAAAATTATAAAAATAAGAAAGAGGCTGGTAATCCTGTAAATACTACATTGAATTCATGATAAAAGCCAAATGGTCTATAAGCAACAGTAAAATGAATCCCTCAGCATTGACTTTAGAACCTAACACTTTAAAAAATCATCTCAAAAGGGCAGAGGTTGACTGTCCACTTTCATTAATCTGCTGTTAATTAAGAGGGTAACAGCTACACATTAATGACAAAGTGAATCTACAGGAATCCTCGAGAAACTGATGACCTACACTTCTACTTTATAAAAAAGTTCTTTGCCATTCCCAATACCTATGCTTCAAATTTTCGGCACTTCTAATATATTTATGGAGAATAAGTAACAATGATTAAAAGAATCACATCAGTGATCGAGAATTAATAAATTAAAGAGAAGTATGAGACAAACGCACACAAAAACATGTCCCCAGGAAATCTAGATCCCATTTTTTCTAAAGCTAATCCCTGAAGAGTCATCAAACAGGAAAGATCATAGAAAAGGCAAAGTACAAAAGGATATTTGGGGACACAGCAATAAGAGAACTCCTTTTGTTTCCTTTTCAATGTTCAGAATCTGTTAATTTATTTAAGTTTCCCAAGCCAGTTCCAGATCAGAATTAAGCAGGTGTTTTTGCTTGAGGACCACAGTCCAACACTACATTAAAGAATGTGGTCCACTGATCTTAACCAGTTCCAATGAGTGATATGCCTGAAACAAGTGTCATGGTTCTGACATCCATTAGGGACTGCAAACAAGGCTTGGATGCATCACAGGAGAAGCAACTGTCAAAATACAGGCTCGAGGCTAAGGCAAATCAGGTAAAATGTCCCCTCAGTCAAGTGAGCCCACCTTAGCTTTGCATAATAGGTTTTCCACAGATATATGCACTATGATAAGTAAAAATGTAAAAATACTGACTCCAATTACCAGTAATAAATCCAGATATTGGCTTTAAACTATGGAACTGTTGATCGTGCTTCGCTCTTTCCTCTACAGTTATGGCCCAGATATCCAGGCTGCCTACAATCCAAAGAAAAGACAAAGAAATTATTCAATGAGAAAATAAAAACAAAGCACTCACACACACTATTTCCACAGTACTTTTAAGATTCTGTCAATATGTTATAAATGATTTGATAAATTAACATCTGTTTGTCCTTGGAAGTTATGCATATAAAGTTAGAAAATTAAGAGTAAAATAGGCCAAAAAAAGAAAGACATGGGCACAAATTCTTTTTTTAAAAACCTGTCTTGGGGGCCGGCCCCGTGGCTTAGCGGTTAAGTGCGCACGCTCCGCTACTGGTGGTCCGGGTTCAGATCCCTGGCGTGCACTGACGCACCGCTTGTCGGGCCATGCTGAGGTGGCGTCCCACATACAGCAACTGGAAGGATGTGCAGCTATGACATACAACTATCTACTGGGGCTTTGGGGAGAAAAAGGGAAAAAAAGGGGGGAGGATTGGCAATAGATGTTAGCTCAGGGCCGGTCTTCCTCAGCAAAAAAAGAGGAGGATTGGCATGGATGTTAGCTCAGGGCTGATCTTCCTCACAAAAAATAAATAAATGAATAAATAAATAAAAACTTGTCTTATAATCCCGTAGTTAGCAGGACTATACAAAGACACGGTAAATTAATAACTATCATTTACTTACATAAATTTAAGCAACAGACTAATTTAAAACCACATTGTCAGATGTCTTAAATGCCACAGGTTTCTGAAAGTTACAGAAAAAGTTGGCTTCCCAATTAGTATCCTACATAATTGCATGAAAATCTTTTTGGGGTGATAAAAATATTCAAATATTGGATTGTTGTGATGGTTGCACAACTCTGCAAATTTACTAAAAATCACTGAAATGCAGTGAATTTTACGGTATGTAAATTACACCTCTCTAAAGCTGTTTTTTAAAAAGGGTATCCTGGAAAAAAAATGATGGCAAACCAAAGAGAACGGGATTTAGGCTCTCCTTCAGTTTCAAGTCTTAGACTGACCACGTGTCCCCTCATTTCTGAGACCTTCCTCACTTTAGTCCTCGGTCTTCTCAAAGAAATTCGCCAAAATAATTATAGATTGCATAGGTTGAAGGCTTTCAAAAGCTCAGACACTTTCCAAGAAGCTGGGAGCAGGCAATACGTATGTTTTGTACAACACGTGAATGTGCCTAGCACAAAAGAAAAATGTCTAAACATCACACCTCCCCTCACTACAGGGTCTGGGATGACAGCGACAGGTAGAGTGGCAATTCATTCAGTCACTGAAGCCATACGTACTGAATGCCTCGTATGTGCCAGGCACTGTGTGAGACCTTAGGCATAAAATGGTGACTGAGACAGATATGATCTCTTCCCTCAAGGGCCTTACAGTCCTGCAACTTCTAGAAGGGATTTTTATTGCCCTGTTAGAATTCATCCCTGGAACTATAAACAAAAGCAAAACCAAAAATAAAAAATAACTTGCCCAATAATTAAGAAGGGGGACAAAAACAAAACACAAAATAACACAATAACGCTAAGGTCTTGAGAAGCTTGCGCAGTGTACCATAACCCCATGGGGACTTGTACAAATGTGAGCAGAGGGACAGTGCTTCATGCCTCCTTCCTCTCTTCATAAGGACTGGATCAGACAGCTGCCAAGAGTAATCCATTAATAGGCCACACTCTTTTTTAAGAAAATACTTGGCCAGTAAGCAAAAATCGTATTTAACATTTTCCTAATGATGTTAGGAAAAATTACCCAAAAAACACATTTTATGCAGATAGATGTGTTTCAAGCAGATAAACTCAAGTAAAACAAAAATGTCATGCTTCAAATGCAGTCTTCAGAAAAAGTATATTCAGTATAGAATAAATGACCCAGTCACTTCAACAAATAAATTACAAAGAAAAAAACAGATGGAAGGAGAGTTCACTAACGAAGAGACTTAAGAGACGCATGAACTCATTGCAATGTATGTCTCTTGTTTGGATCCTGATTTGAACAAACCATAACAAAAAAATGTCTAAACACTACCAGGGAAATTTTAACACTGACTTGATAGTTGAGGACATGAAGGAATTACTGTAAAGTTTATAAGTGTAATATGGTACTGTAGTTGGTCCTCAAAAGTGTTATCTTTTAGAAACATACTAAAATATTTGTAAATAAAATAATATGACGCCTGAGAGTTGCTCAAAAATACCCAGATGAAACAATATTGGCCATAAGTTGATAATCATGTAAACTAAATGATGGATACATATATGATGGGTTGATTATATTATTCCCCCCACTTATGTGTATATTTGAAACTTGCCATAATACTGAGTTTTTTAAAAATATGGTTTCAAAGTACATTAAAAAAGGAAAATCTTTGCAAACTTACCACCAAAACGTGTTGGAAACTGAGCCATGGTTCTGTTACTTCTACCTTGCTAATTGACGCCTGTAATCAAAATGCAACATTTCAGTTTATGAAAACTTCACTTCTATATACTTACAAACACACTAACATGCTGTCTTTAATGATCAGAAGACTGATACCAGAGCTAAGGTACAGCACTACAAATGAAAGTCACAACTAAGGTGTTCATTCATTCATTCTCTGCAGTGTCTTGTTGCCAGGTACAATAATAGGAGCTGAGGAATGCTGATGAAAGACTGCAACAAGAAGCTTTCAGTCTGGGGGTAATACCATTAGCTCAGGACAGCCTATTATATCACTAATGTTGTATTTGTTACTTTTTAAATAAATCTTCTTCTTCACTGTCTACATATACTAGTCCATGCTTGCTGGTTATAACAACTGCTCCTTTTAATGAGCACTCGGTCCATGCTGCCCACTGTACTAGGTGATCTACAGGTCTTATCTCTTTTCATCATCATCACAGCCCTAGGAGATAAGGACTCTTATTACCATCCCTATATTACAGATGAGGAAAATGAGAAGCAGAGAGGTGAAGTGATTACAGCAATACCACGCATTTGGTGACCCAGCTGGATTTGAGCAGGGGCAGGAAACTCCACAGCTTATGTTCCACCCGTGAAAAATACTGTTGGCAATCATGGCTTGAAGATTTTGAGAAAGGCTATAAACAACGCATGTTACACTAACATCTGCCCAGAATACCAAACACAAACCTAAGGCTCCAAAATCCCCATCAGGCATTATTTGTTCATGAACAGCCAACGTGAAACCAAGCCAGTCCTCTTCCCCAACTAAAATAATGCAAACTTAATGACTATTTTTTCTTATTCTTAATTTAACAACAATGGTAAATGCACATAGTTAAAAATGAATACTAAATAGTCAGAGAAAACATTAAGATAAATTTAGATTTAAAAAAAATAGCCCCCCCTAGGGCCGGCCCCGTGGCTTAGTGGTTAAGTGCACGCGCTCCGCTACTGGCGGCCCGGGTTCGGATCCCGGGCACACACCAACGCACCGCTTCTCCGGCCATGCTGAGGCCGCGTCCCACATACAGCAACTAGAAGGATGTGCAGCTATGACCTACAACTATCTACTGGGGCTTTGGCGGCGGCGGGAAATAATCCTTTGCCCTCATACTCCAATCTGTCCTTGCATTTTTTTTTCAATGGACACAACAATGTCTTTTACTCTTCTGATTTTGGTGGGTTTACTTTGCTCTTTGGTTTTCTTCTGTTTCTTGCATCATTTGATTCCTTTTTTGTTTGTTGGCTTATCGTTTGGCATCTTTCTCTTTCACTTTTGAGGGCGTCCTCATATATCTGGTGATCCCTGGGTGTTCCTTCATATTTAAGAGTGAGGCACTAAAAGCACGCTCAGAAGCTGGGCATGGGTGGCAGGTTTGCTGGTTGATGGGCTTCTCCATATGATGATCAGATATAGCCAGTCACCTTTTCATTGGGAGACCTCAAATGTCAGGACGTAGAGGTCTTTTCATTGAAGCTGTTCAGTTTTGCCAGTGAGAACGAAGCGCAGGGAGGGTGGAGCAAGAACACACATCCAGCCGCTGACCTCTGGGAGGAGTGGGGAAGGGAGGAGGAGCTGTGGGGCCTCCACTTCAGTGTTCAGACTTGTCCATAAGCCCTTTATTTTCAGCCCCATGCCTCACCCCTCTAGTCTGGAGCATCTCTGGTTCTAGTGCTCTCCCATCTCCCCAGGAGGAAGGGGACTGAAGCAGTCACCTGTCTGCTGGGGATGCAGGAGGTGGTGGTCAAAAGATCTGGACACAGATTTTTAAAGAATTGCCATTTCCAGCTGCAAAACTGACCTCTGCCTTTGGGAATACCCAGAGCCAGAGCCTCCAAGCACTCTGAAGTCTATCAAGACATTCCTGGGGCGAGCTGGCTTGTTCCTCGTCTTTATCACCCTCTGTAGGCACTAGGTTGTATCCTCCTCTGAACTCAGTTACCACTCCTCCATTCACTCTTTGTTATCAAAGAACTGTTAATATCTTTTGTCACTGTCTCCTCCACTGTTGCCACTGTCTCCTCCACTGTTATCTTTTTCCCTTGAGTTAACATCTTTTATGCCTCTTTGTGATTATGGCAGACTTTAGGGAAGGAGAAGAGAAAACACATGTGGTCAAGCCACCATCTTTAACAGGAGGTCTGTGAATCCAGTTTTGAAGTGGGCCGCTTCTCACTGCCAATTCCCTTTAGAAACCGCGGCTGCTAGTCTCTTCTTCCACTATGTCTCACTCAACATATTAAGTAGGCAAGCTTGATAATTTTCCCAAAAAACTTTATTTATTTATTTTTTCGTGAGGAAGATCGGCCCTGGGCTAACATCCATGCCCATCTTCCTCCACTTTATATGGGACGCCGCCACAGCATGGCTTGACAAGCGGTACGTCGGTGCACGCCTGGGATCCGAACCGGCGAACCCCGGGCCACTGCAGCAGAATGTGCACACCCAACCGCTGCGCCACTGGGCTGGCCCCCCCAGAAAACTTTAGTGTTTTATCTCAAGATTCCTAAAGTTCTTGAAATTGCCAAGTCATACATCTTTTTATTGAGTTTTACAAAAATGGCAAGCTCTTAATTTTAAAAGCATAGTAACACAAATATTTAATATATGTAAGATGCGAATACATTCTGTTCTGTTTTACTTCTATTCTTTACTGTGTATTGCAAAATAAAGAAAAGTTATTGATTTATCTTCTTTATACCCAGTCACTTTACCACATTTTCTTATTGGCGCTAAGTCTTTCAGATGTGTCTCTTTGGTTTTCTAGATATCTTCCTTTTTTTTATTTTTAGTGTTTTTTTTTATTGCAGTAACATTGGTTTATAACATTATATAAATTTCAGGTGTACATCATTATATTTCAATTTCTATGTAGACTACACATGTCCACCACTCAAAGACTAATTACAATCCATCACCACACAATGTGCCTAATCATCCCTTTTGCCCTCCTCCCTCCCGCCTTCTCCTCTGGTAGCTACCAATCCAATCTCTGTCTCTATGTGATTGTGTGTTGTTGTTTTTATCTTCTACTTATGAGTGAGTAGATCTATATCTTCTGGAAATAAAGAATTTAGCCTTACATTAGTAGCCCAAATCAATAAAACTAAGCTATATAATAGTTGGGATAGCAGGAATTTTTATATTGTCTCTGATTCTCATTGTGTTGGTTTTAGTATTTCATAACTTAATAGATTTGTTTGTTGTTGTGCTTTGGTAAATACTCTTTACCATGTTTAGGTAGTCTCCTTCTATTCCTATTTGACTTAAAATTTTTATAGGAATGGCTGCTAAATTTTTTTCAGAAGCTTCTTTTTATCCAATGAGAGACCCACGTATTTCTCCTTTAATTTACATATTATAGTTATATATTTCCTAACATAAATTATCCTAGAATTTATGTAATAAACCCAATTCAGATATGCATGCTATTCTTATACTACACAGCTAGGTCCAATTTGCTAATATTTTCTTCAGAATTTTTGCTTAAGAAAATGTTATGCATAATTCTATGCATTAAAGTAGAGAATCCAGAGAAAATGGATACATTTCTACCTCACTATAAATTTCCAAAATTATCTTTTAAAAAGGTATAATACTTTAATAGACCACAAAAATAACTCGAAATGTAAAGATGTAACATTAAAAAGATACCTAGGGGCTTGCCCCGTGGCTTAGCGGTTAAGTGCGTGCACTCTGTAGCTGGCGACCCAGGTTCGGATCTCGGGCGCGCACAGACGCACCGCTTGTCAGGCCATGCTGTGGCGGTGTCCCATATAAAGTGGAGGAAGATGGGCACAGATGTTAGCCCAGAGCCAATCTTCCTCAGCAAAAAGAGGAGGATTGACAAGGATGTTAGCTCAGGGCTGATCTTCCTCAAAAAAAAAAAGATACCAAGAACAAATTATTCTAGAGACGAGTGTGAACTAATCTTCAACAAATATCCCTTTCACTAAAACCATTCCACAGAGACAGACTGAACACTCCTCAATTTATTTTATGAAGTTAGCATAATCTCAGTACCAAACTATGATAACAAAAGCATAAAAATAGATTATTTTCACTTATATATATAGATACAATAATTCTATATTTTACTTTAAATATTTCACAGCTATTCTGAGAAAGTCACAGCTAGATATAACAACTCCCATGGTCCAAAGTATATTTTAATTATCAGCAGCAACTTGCAAAGCATTTAAGAGTATTTGCTGTTTACCATCCTTCCTAGAGTTCAGGAAATAATTCCCCACCCTGTGTGAACCTCTTCCCCAAAAGCTTTCACCTTACTATGAGCAACATCAGACTAAACTTACCTTCCGAACCTTCTGACCTCCGTCTCTGCCTCCTCTTCAACTTACATCCATTCCTGATAAGTGAATGGACTGCCCACTCCACCTTGTGTCCCACACTTGTAAACTAATGCCCTTCTCTCACTTCCCCTCCCTAATTAAAGCCCTGTTCCTTAAGTGTCACTGGCCTCAGCTGGATATTTGTAAGGAATCAATCTAATAAAAACGAAATCACTTTGAGGTGGGAATGAAGATGTACCTTCCAGGCTTATTTACTAACACAAAAGTCCAAATGCCGGTTTAAGGATGAGGTTGCAATATTCCCACATATCTTTCTTCTAACCACAGGGGCTTCAAATGCCATTCACAGCTAGGTTCTCCTCAGCTCCTAGGGAACCCCAGACAAAAGTAGTAACATGTAGATGAAGCAATGGGTTCAAACCCTCCAGTTCCACCTCTGTTCTATGCTACATAGACAAACCATAGTGATGACATCTTGGCTTAAGGTGTTTTGTTCCTAATTTTTTTATATATACATTTGTTGTATGTATTACTATAATTTGACAAAATAAAATGATTTGTAAAGGGCCACGACATTTTTAAAAATTCCACACATCCAAGACTTTTAAAAGTCACAAACCAGGGGCCGGCCCCGTGGCGTAGCGGTTAAGTGCGCCCACTCCACTGCTGGCGGCCCGG